ACCGATGGTTAGATACACTGAGCGATATGACTGGGTGTCGCAAACAGTGACGCTCATGCATATATTCATTATTCTTGTAACATCGGTCTATATGAATTCTCTATCTTCCCATTGAATTTGCTCTTAACATTCCAATCTTCATTGTGCTTCTTTATCCAAATGAGCAACCAAAACTGGCGCACGGAAGTGCATGGTTAATGGTTGTAAAAGCTGAAACTGAACTGAACGTGACTCTGATGTTCAGAAGGCTCTTCTTCGTCCGCTAGCACTTTAACTAAGCTGAATAGTCATGTCTATTTTCTTTTCTTCGGGTTTTAGGGACGTCGACGTTTGGTTGTCCTTCATTCTGTCTCTCTCCTCTTTCAGATATATGTCGATACATAGCGATTATTCTCTCTCACAAGCCCCTCTCATGCCTTCCGGACTTTCGCTGTACACACACCAAGTTGCTGGTCATGGCAAGAAGTCCAAGGTTTCCTGTGCAAGTGAGTTGTTTGAGTTCCGTGTTGCGCTAGGTATTAGTTTTTAAAAATTAAAAAAATCGCTCCCTTCGGGATCCAAACTGTTGATACGCTATAGTTGTTTACTGTCTATAATTAACCGTAGCTTATGCATCTCGTGTTTTCAGTGACACAGCATTGTTCTATGCATACTTTACGCATCTGATATGTAATCTTATTTTTCCATGCACTGTTTTTTGACCATCAACAATATCAGCTTATGAACAGATGCCGAGAGAAGAAGAAATTCGGTTTGCCTACAGAGTGAATGGATGGACCATCTACGACACAGCCATATAACTTAATGTCTGACCATTGGTTTCAACGAATTCGAGGTCCGCAATCGGAAAGCTTAGAACAGTTGACGTAACGAAATGAACTGGTCAGGGTTTTCATCGCTCGCTTACTCGATCATCCCGTTGCAGCAAAATTATACTTCAAAGGAGTTTTTTTAGTGCACACCTAAGTGTGATGAACAAAAGACGGAGTAAACGTGACGAGTGGACGAGTGGAGTGTTAAGTATACTGCAAATTTCCATCCGAGGATGGAGGGACATTATGGCATCAATAGGTTTTACTTAAGCTGAAAAGTCCTCAGTTTTGTGTGACAGTGCTGACATTCTTACTCGACTACTGCAGAATGGAGATTGCCTGTCAAAGGTGCCCATCTCATCAGGATAATCGATCGTTAATGTTAGCGGAGGTCTTCTCGATCATTCTTTTGTTGTGAACACGAACGAACGAAATGATTCTGACTAAGTGCCGGTCGCAGTGAGCGGGGCAAAGGGAGGGCGGATGAGGTGTGAAACAGTGACTGACTCATCATTGACAACTCGGTGACTGGTACACAAGGATGAAGGCTGCATACCAGTATTTCAATTTTTCTGTCCCCCAGGTTTGGGGGTTGGCTTGTGTCGAGTCTCATCAAGAACCAGTGAACGAGTTTTCTTCTAACCTTATCCACGTGATTAGATTCTTGCTAGGGTTCAAGGCAAACTAAGTATATCGGTTTTCACCAACAGTGTTCGTCAGCAGCTCTCTACTTCGCCATTCCTATTCAGTTTCATCACAACCGAAGTACTGGAGAATGCACCAAGTGGTCTGTTCTCACAAAGCGCACTCGACAGAGCAACAAGCGTCCTCATGCCATTTGGTATGCGCTTTGCACCTTCAAAGTGCGAAGTGATGCTGCAAAACTGGGTGTCGTCTACTTCGGATCTGGTGCTTCATTGTCAAGAGTTAAATATGTCAGATTTCTTTTCCTAACGAGGTAGGTGCGCGGTAAATGATGGTAGCATGGTAAAAAGAAGTAACTACCGCACATTCAAGGCACGAGCAGCGTACGCAAGGATGAAATAACTTTGGTGCCAACGTGATGTTTTGAACCTGAAAGGTCGCATATTCTGTGCCATTTGTCTGCCAGGTCTGCTTCACGGTTGTGAATCCCTGAATTTGTACGTGGGAGACATTCATTATTTAGAAGTCTTCGACTGTTGATATCTACGTAGTTTGGCGCGGGCTGGATGGAGCGAGCGTGTAAGCAAGCAATTCTGAGGTAAGTCGTCGCGCATTTGGTAATGATTCGGTGGAACATTCGTTACCACAGAATTCAGACGGGTAGGCTTCGCTGGCTAGGGACGTATTGCGTATGTTCAGTTGTCGTCTACCGCACCGCGCCTTATTCGCAGTTGCGGCCACAGGTTTGAGGAAATCATATGGAGGTCAACAGATGACGTGGAAATGAGGCATGGAGAAATGCACACAGCGATTGGGTAGAGTACGTGTCTCCTGTCTTCCGGGTTGTTGTTCGACACACTCTGTAACTGGTTAGTTGGAGATAGTAAAGGATCTGGCAACTAACCGATAGCAGTGGGGTTCTTGTTGTCATTTCCTATCTAGTGCGAATGCTTGAAAAGGCACGAATGCACAGTTGGGTTGTACACTCAGTCTGTTGACCATAGAGGTTCACTCTCTTTGCCTCCCTCCGGTTATGCCCAAACCCTATCTATCTTGTGCTTACGCACTTATTTCATGTATATTGAGAGTTTCACAGCGGTCAGCGAATCTTGATTCACTGTATCTCGCTGTACGATGATGATGATGATGATGATGGTAAATGTTATCGCTACAGAAGGAAACTGTCGCACCTACCAGGACAGCGCGAAGCTGTTTGTCTGAATGCATGTGCACATCTTTCGCGAGTACCACGAAACAATGGAAATGAATGCATCCTTTGATCATGGTGCTTCCTTCCCCCATGGAATCGTGTTAGTTTACTCTTTCATATGGTAGTGTCAACTACTCCCCAGGAGCCGATCAGAAGAACGTTCGGTACTTGTCTTCTTCTTTTCTGAACTTCCCTCCCGTGAGTTAACCTACGAAGAGCGAACAGCTTTTGCTGCTCCGGACCACGAGGGATTGGATGAGCACCGTATCAAGGTTAAAATGCAACTATCTGCGTTATAAGTCATTAGACAGACGAATGCTACTACTGTTGTTCGCGGTCTCTAGCGTTTGTTTTGGTTAGCTAAAAGGTTCGCAGCTAGGAATCCTCAAATATGTCAACTGTGGTCAAGCAGTATTAGTTAGCAGTACATCGCTCTGTCAGTCGTTGGTTCGAGCCCCACCAGCGCCTAGCATTCGCACTTTCCTAAGTGCCACTTCTGAATGGGCACTACTCGTTTCGGAAAAGACTGAAAGTAGGCAGTGTGCGAAGGAAGAATAAACAGTTCCTTACCGGAAACTTTATCTGAATTGTTTGTTTTTTGTGATTATGACACATTCTCATTGCATACGGAAGAAAACAGTTTGGGACTATCTTAGGATCAATAGCGAGTTAACTGGTCGGGCTCATTTTTCATTTCATAATTTTTTTTATCTCAGCCGTAATACTTGAGATTGATTTCATTTCAGTGAATGTATCATATCCCTCCCCCTTGTTGTTATGCTCTCCACTCAAAGTGCTCTATTGTCCTGAACGACGATTGGTCTTTAAATGCTTGCCTGATGGTGCGCGCGGTTCCAGAGAAATACAGTTCTACGAGAGTGTGAACTCCAAAACTGCTCCAGAACCTTTGCTTCTGTTGCGTCCCTATTTGCCCACGTATCATGGTGTGTTTCGGTCCGTTGATGGAAAATGTGAGTGCTTGTTTCAATTTTATAATAATAATAATAATAACAATAATGATATCCAAGCTTGATACTCTAAACAATAATAATAGTTATGCATTTCACACGCATTTGAGTCCAGACTGTACCAAACAAATCACACTACAACAATATAACGGCGAAATTGGTCCACGAGCGACACGTAGACAGAATACTTCTAGTTTGTTCAGGCCAAAGCAAGGGAACTTTCTTGGGGAGTTGACAACGAAAGCCTTGGGTTAACCAAAACGCGAGTAAAGACCGCGGTCTTTTGGGGGTTGGTGTCTAATCCATTGTATCGTAGGCTCTTTTCAACGAGATCATCCAAGGGGTCCGG